CAAACCATATATATATATATATATATATATATATAGGCATAAACTATGTGCATAGAGATGCTTACTTAGTGATACATAGGCTAGTCGATATGATCACATGGGTAAATGTAGGGATGCAGTTGAATTTTCTTTGGAAGGCTGTCTTAAGTTGGTAGATGCTCCATTTTTCAACCTATTTGTTTTTCATAAGACAATGCATACTAAATGAACTTGTCCGAGTTTGGATACAAATAGCTGTAGTACAACATCCTGAGTGAACAAGGACATATCTCTAAAAATAGCAATCTGACTCTCTCTTTTGCATCCACCATACATAAATGATTAACGTAAAATATCATTTGGAACAACTATAAAATATTGAATATCTTGTTTAGCAAAGAAATTTCTTGCAAACTTTATTTTAGGCTTTGGTAATCCAGGTTTTGGGAAGGGAAACAAGGAATGGGTCCTACAGATAGAGATACTGAAATATTGGACCCATGCCAAAATAATTCATAGGCTAGTTTTTCTAGGACTTCTATAGTTATTTTAACAGATACGTGCTTGATTATGTGTATATTGTGTGTTTTGGCTGTAAGTGCCTGGTAAGTTATTTAGGGATATCTTGTCATTGCTTGTATACCCATAAAGGGCACAAATACATTCAGCCTAAATCGAAAGCCCCAAGTTATTCATAACTTCCTCTCTTTTTTCTTGCTAAGAAATTAGAATACTTCGATTTTTTGGGTAGTCCAGTGGCAGGATGCAAAATTGAGACGTAGCATTGGAATCACCCGTGTTCCTTTTCATCTCTCCTAAGTCTTAAGTTTATGTAATATTAGAGCCTCAATGAACTAAGGGAAACCCCAACTTTGGAGACTATTTGTAAGGTTCCTTTGAATTTTACAAACCTGTGCCTATGAACTTCACAATCAATGCATCACATTCACAATCAATGCATCACATTGGTCGTACACTAAAATGCGAAGATGTAATGATCTAGACGCCAATAACTTGGTGTTCCTGTTAATTGCATTTTAATTTTATTTTAAACTTTTTTTAACAGTTTTCTCATTATTTACATGTTACAAATTTCCAAAAGCTCATCCTTTTTTCTTTTTTTTTCAGCTGCCTCAATACAAAGAAATCAACTTTGGGAGGTTTCATAGAAAATGAGAAAATAGTTCTATGCCACTGTTCGGGTCAGGTATAATAAGAGAATCTCCTTGTGAATAGTGAGATGTTCTAGACTTTCTATAGCATCATTTCACAGTATGAACATATGCTTGGCTTCTCCACAGCTTGCTAATGTGATTAAATCAATGCTACGATTGTTACTTCCCATCCAGCTTTTCCTTAGCCGATTCAACAAACTGAAGTACATTGCCATTTTTCTCAAGATAAACTCAGTACAACAAGTGGAGTTTGAGAAAGGAAACATTTCAATGGGGTCTGGCAGTAAGGAGACAACAGTGGAGCATCCTAGTGCCCAATATACTCGTTAGGTCACAATTAACGTGTAATGGTGTTGTTGAACCCCTAACAGGGGGTCGAATAATATAAGACGGGTGTCAAACCCCAGCCACGTATAAATTACATGCGCGTGGGGACCTGTAGAAAGCTCGTCTCAGTGGGGAAGAGATGTTAGATTATGCATTTGTTATACATTTTCTGTTATTTGTCATCCATTTTCTATTTAAATTATACACTCTTATACAAATGCAATTTCAAATAACTCAGTACGCCCTATGTTCTTGTGATTAAAAAAGAAAAAATAAACAACCAAATCCATTTTCTATTGAGTGGATGAATACCACAAATCATACACACGATTAAGCAAATTATCATGGTCAAGTTTCGGCAAATACAAAACAAAATGCAACAGAATTAAGTGACTGTGAGTGTATAAATTTTAACAATGCAATAAAAAGGACAGCCAAAAAGAGAAATGGAACAAGCACATCTTTGAGATACAATATAATTTGAGAGAGAGAGAGCATTCCATTCACTTCAATTTGTCAACAGAGCAAATTTCCAAAACACACGCACAGTGTTAGAATCGTGTTCAACTTTCAAACAATTAACAGTGGGAGAGAAATATTCCCAACCTCATTTCTGTGACAGTAAGCACCCGATCTTTGGACAGCGACGCAGAAATCGTGGACTTAGAGAGAGAGAGAGAGGGGAAGAAATAATACGTGGGTTACAGGAGGGGGAGAAATTCGTGAGACACAGAGAGGAACAATATGGTTAAATAGAGGGGGGGATAAATTCGTGAGTTAGAGAGAGGAGAGCAAACCCTAAAGTGCAGGAAATAGAGTTAGAGAGAGAAACAATCTTTAAGACTGAAATACGAACATAGTTAGAGAGTGTAGAGGATAAAGTAGGGAGTTAGAGAGAGAGAAGAGACCGTATGCATAGACTGGACATGGATTTAGTATGAGAGGCGTGGCTCTGCCATGTCTGTTAAGGAAAACATTCTCTATTTCTCTCACCTCTCTCTCTTCTCCATAACAGTAACTAAAGTGCCTGATGAGAGAAAAAGCGAATAGTATTAAAATTCAAATTTACCAAAATGTCCTTGGAAATAAAATGGGATGAAATAGCCAAAAAAAAAAAAAAGAGTGGGAATCAATTACAAAATCATGCCAAAAAAGCGGGAATCTAACTAAAGGTTCACATGTTTTCTTACTATAACTATTATTTTTGCTGTTTAAAATATATTTATTTTTTCGTATTCATGATCTGTACGTTAGATATTACATATCCTTAAAAATTAAGTCTTTAAAGTCCATCTCAAAAATAAATTTAATAAGAGACCCGCATTTTTAAGTATGCGGGTTTGGCCACATAGAAACCGGTCCAAATGTTATGCTCGTACCTAATTTAGATAATGTTCACTTTATTTTTGGCTCTTATGTGCCTCAAAAAATTAAAATTTTGGATTCTTAAAACACGAAGGTTTATTTGACAAAAAAATTATGCCTCAAAGATTAGCCATTTCCTATAATTTATTGTATATGTGACCACTCTATTAGCAATCTTTTTTAAAAAATAAAAAACGATATTGTCCTACTTCAAATCTTGAGAATCTAAAGTCTAAGATTTATATATATTAGATAAAACTTTGGAATATGAAAATCCAAAGTATTTTAATTGCACAAATACTTCAAAACTTTAAATCTTGAAGTCTTATTTGTCAAACTTAAAAAAAATCTGAAGAACTTTCGAACTAAAATATAATTAACTTTCAAGCTCTGGAGTATTTTCTTAACTGATATACTTTGAATTTTCAAATTTTAAATTATTAATAAGCCTCCTTACGATATAAATGATGAACTTTGGATTCTCAAAATATGAAGTAGGAGCAAAATTGTTATTTTAAAAATTTACGAACAAATTGGGTATAGACACAATGATATAAAAATTTATATAATTTTTTAATAACGGATTTGAGGAGTATATGTCACGCCTCAAGAATTTACAATACTGATATTTTTGAGATGTGACAGTCAAATTATATATACATCTCATTGATAGGATAAATTTATAGTGGCGAATTCTTACAAAGCAATAAAATAAAGTTTAAGCACAACTACAATATCTTCCGAAGTTGATCTTGACGAGCACTCAAAATAAAACCGCAATTATCCTTAAAAAATATTTACCATAATTTGATGAGTTTGGCTACTCAGTAAGTGATCATCATAATCCTAAAAATGATCATAATTGAAAGATATCACTATTTTCAAAAGCTTTTTCTAGGGTGGGAGTCATCATTTATCCTATTTAAATTCTTAATACACCTTATTATATTATTTTATTAAGTTACACCTCGTACATGAGGTGTAACAGTATACATGTGTAAATTACTTTAAATCATATTCCATCCTCCTAACATAGTGTATATTATATATTAGGATTAACTTGCCTCAAGTAGAAAATAAACCACTCAGTTTCTTATTTCCAAAAAATACTTACCTTGCATAATTGAGGCCATTATGATTTACTCTAGAAAAAATAGTGATCTTTACACGTATTTATGTGCATGATTTACATGTATTTTACGTTTCTAACGATTTAATTTTGTTGGACATATGGAAGTGAGCTGACAATAATGTCATATATTTATAATTTAATAATATAAACAACATTAACATCACGCACTAATTATGACTTGATAAATACATATCAGATTTGCCTCACGTCACCTCAATTTAAAATATGTGATAATGATTAGACAACATTGAATCTCCAAGTGCCGTTAGGAAGTTTAAATTTTGAAATGCTCATTCACATAAAGGGAAATTACAAATAGATTTTATACTTTACGTCCCAAACTAATATTTTTCATATTTAAACAAGTTAGTTTGAAACTTGAAGTCTTCAATCTAAGTTTGTTTACTATAAGCATTTGAAAACTTGAATTTTCAAACCAATCTAGATAAAAATATGCCTCGAATGATAATTAGATGTGTATTTTGAAAATAATAAAAATAAAAAAATAAAAAAGATACAAAAAAAGACACTCAAATATTAATTGTGAGAGACATTCTTTAGTGCATAAAATGAAGATAAATTTACACTCAAAACCCTAAATATTTGTTCTCCATTTTAAAGTTCAAAACCTTATTTGAGCTTTTTTTTCTATACGCAATAACGGATAATTGGGATCATAAATTTCTCTAAATTACTAGAGACATTAGGGTAAATTTCCCAAAAAAATTGGCAAAATTCACAATATTTGGTTGGGCCTTTCGTAATTTACAGATATGTATAGGGTCATTATGATCATATAAGCTCACATAAACCCCTCGGTCGACAAATTATTTTTTGAGAGAGAGAGAGAGATGGCGAAAACCTTCACATGTTTAAAAAGAGCAGCGGGTTTACCGCTGCCAGTGTAATCTGGAAGAAGCTCTGTAATGGCGAATCCCAAGCCCTTAGTCTACAAAAGCTTATTTAATAGTCGTTTTCTCAAATCCTAAGTCATATGAAACATCATCTTTAATTGAAGGAATGAAACCCTAGCTTTCAGTTTTTAGGGGAGAAATGGCCTCTGGTTCCGACCAGTCCATCGAGGAGAGGGCCAAACTCCTCCAAACCCTAGTTTCAGGCCCCATGAATTCGTCCATTAAAAAGCTTTCAGCTTCTGCGAAGCCTTTTCCATGCGATGAAGATTTCCATTTCTACGCTAACTTCAATGAATTCAAGATACCAGTTAGGGAGATATCCCAAAAATCCGAGTCTCTCATGAAAGATATAGGTGCTTCGAAGCATCTGTGGAATAGGACTTTGACGTTGCCTAATGACCCGGATGATTCATACGACTGGCTTGTAGATATCAATGATGAAATATTTGAGAGAATCGATGTTTCAGTTGATGAGTTCAAGAAATTGCAGAAGAAAGATGGGGAAAATGGCCAGAGGTTTGAGGATTTTGAAGATGGATTTCAACTCGTTTATGGAAAGAAGAATAAGAAGGGGAATCAGATAGCGGAAGGGAGAGAAAGTAGGGCTTCTGATGCTTCTCTGGTTTATAATGGTGCGAAGATTGCTTCCTGGGATAGCAAAGCTTCAAAGGGGCGTTCTCAGGTTCCATTTCATATTCCAAGCATTCCAAGGCCTCAAGATACCCTTGGTATTGTTGTTGATAATTCGAACCAGCCTTTTGAGCATGTTTGGTTGCAGAAGAGTGAGGATGGGTCCAGGTTTATCCATCCACTGGTATGTTTATCTTTGTGTTTTACTTTTTTGTTTGTAATTATTTTCATTTCATCTATGTTGCTATGTATAAACTTTAGAGAAGAGGCTTAATAGTCAAACTATCTGCAATTTACGGGAAAAATCAAGAAGGCTATCTATATAATTCACAGAAGAAGAGCAGCTGTCTAGGTTAGACCTGGTGGGCCTTTTTCATGTCCCTGAAGTTCTTGACTATGAAACCCAGCTCATCTAAGAAAAAAGAAGAACGCAGAAATGAGGGGTCCTGAGTTTTATGGATACTTTTGTATGGCTCTATTTTTTTTTGGAACATCTACTTTTGTATGGCTCTATTGATTTCATATGTCGGTAAAATTGTGATATGTTACAATTTTTTCTGTTGGTTGGTGCCTTACTTGTAATTAACAGCCAAATATTGTTGATTTATAGCACGTTCCTTGAAATTCTTCCCCACTCACCAACATGGGAATTTTTATGTGCTTCTTTTTCCTGGAATTGCAAATATTATTTTCGTATGCAATTGATTATCACAGAAAGAACTGTGCATATTTTCTGAGATTTGTGCAATGGGGGGTACTCTGTCATCCATCAGAAATAAGACTTGGGTAGTTCGTCGGGTAGAGCTGCTTCTGTTGATATTTAACACGACCTTGTTTCCATTAAATAGTACCTTCTTTTGTTTGCTGCACTGGTGTTCCTGTAATGTGGAGATCTTCATGATAGATATAGGTTGTGATTTTATATTGGAAGCTGACTGTTTTGTAACTTTTGTTCTTCATAACCACAGGAAAAGTACTCTGAGTTGGAGTTTGTTGATAAGCATCTTGGAGATCCCGAGCCAATACAACCCCTTCCCCTTGAGAATACCCCGTTTACATTTGTGAAGGAAATAGATGATTTAAAGGAATTGGTTATCAAGTTGCGCAATGTGAATGAATTGGCGGTGAGGACTCCCAATTTGAGGATACTAATTTTGTGATAGAAATTTTTCTCTTATTATTTTCTTTGTTTGTATAGTCCATATTGTTGTTTGAATTCATAAGGTATTTTCCTTGGTGGACAATAATTCTGGTTTTGTTAGAATGTGCATGGATCTACTAAATCAATATACTCGAAAGCACATGGTTGAGGTTTTCTGGGAGAGTAAACAAACATTAGTGAACATGCATAAAAACCTCACCTACACTAGGAAACATGGCTTTCTGTGAGTAATCTTGTTGCTATATTTCTTTGGAGAGTTGGAGATTCTGTTTCTCTGGAGTAAGTGAGTTTTTGGGATTCTGTGTAGAGTGGTTATTTCATTAATCAAAACAGTTGTTGATCGTTAAAAGCAATTATATTTATTTTCTAGTGAGTTATTATCACAGGGAGATTTTATACTCTGTGAGGTTGGCCAAGTACATACAGTATAGGTTTGTTGGTAACCATATTCAAGTGAGAATTTGGGGTTCTGTGTCGAATGGCTACTAAATATCACAAAGAAAGTTTATATCATGTGAGGTTGGCCAAGTACATACATTCGAGCTTTGTTGGTAACTGTATTTTAGTTTTTAACAGGTTGACTTGGAGCATAATCATTACCGTAGTTTCCAAGGAATGACTTGCCTGATGCAAATTTCTACGAGAACTGAAGATTATGTGGTTGATACCCTAAAGCTCCGCTCTCATATTGGTCCACAATTGAGGGATGCATTTGCAGATCCCTCTAGGAAAAAGGTGGGATCATATTCCCTCTTGATAACTCCGCAATTTTAGTTCTTGGGGGACCCGCTTATGCCATTTTTGTTGTAAATATCCGCTTAGGTCATGCATGGGGCTGATCGAGATATATTGTGGCTTCAGCGGGACTTTGGCATTTATGTGTGCAATTTGTTTGACACACATCAGGTTTGTACCGTTAAGCTACAATGCCTTTCTTTAACATTTAAAATTGATGAGTTCTTTTTTCCATTGCTATGACTTATGAAGCTTGAATGCTTGCATATGGGCGCAGTTATAGCATTGTTTCTTGTGATTTTAGGAATACCAAAAAAATGGCATGTTTCCCAACTCTGAACTCTAAAAGATTTTCTTGTCCTTTTGACTTTGGGGACCTGTTTCTCACAATGATTTAAGTATATGTTTAAGGGAAATTGTGTATGTTGAAAGTTTGCCCGAGGTTTCCCCGACCCTAGAAAGGGTTTAAAATGAGACTGAAACAAAACTTTCGAATTCCTGGGTGTCTACCTAATTTCTCAAATGTTTGAAACTTGAATGGTGACCCAAGACAATCTTTAGTTCCCAAGTTGGTCTAGTATTTAAAATTACAACGTGTGTAATCATGTTTTTGCATGTATCAATGTTTTTTTTTTGGCTGACAATGTAAATCAGTTTATGACAATCTATCAAAAATCTTGAATATAATAAATCGTTATTATTAAATGGAATTGTTAGTCTGATAGTAATATCTTGTTTCTATTAAAAAATAGGGCTTTTAAAAAAAAAGGCCTTATGAGAAGTTTCTTTTATGAAATTAGACATCCAGAGACTTTATTTTTGACTTGAGCTCTCTACTTTTTATGGAGGGGCAAATGGACCAATTTGCCCTCTTTTAAGAGAAAAATGATAGAACTTTTTCTTTGCCTTATCTCTCACTCTTTTTCCCATGGTTTGTTTTTTCGTAATGATACTTTTTCATATGGTTTCTTCCCTCTTGTCATACTCTTTATTTGAAAACCCCATACATTATTTCCTCCTTTCTCATTGTCTCAAAAGTCCAACCCCTTCTTTTCTTCCCTCATATTCTCTCTCTAAAAACCAGTCTATCTCCCTGCCGATTACATTCTTTCTTTAAAAATATTGTCCGTTTGTGCGTCCTCCTCCTTTTTTTCCCTCGTATTGTCTCTAAAAACCAGCCTATCTCCCTGCCTATTACATTCTTTCTTTAAAAATATTGTCCATTTGTGCATCCTCTCTTTGTCTCTCTCTAAAACTAAAATTATGGAAGAAGAGAGTGAAACCAAAGAAGAAGAAATTATATCATGCCTTTTGAAACCCCAAGAATGTGCTTTCTCTCTTCTTTGATTTCTCTTGTCCTTTAAGTTTTCTCTCTTTTTCTTATTTGAATTTAGTTGTAGAGAGATAATGTGGGAGTAGCAAGGAAGGGGTTGGGTTTAGAGAGAGAATGTGAAAGTGGAGAAAATGGGTTGGGTGTTTAGAAAAATGTAAAAGGAATGAATCATTAGTCGTATTTTTAGAGAGAAGGAGAGAGAAATGCTTAAAAATGGGGTTTTGGATAGAGAGATAAAGGGGAGGAAGAAACCATAGGTAAAAATTGTGTAAGATGAGAGAAAAAGATACCCTGTGATTTCTCCTTCAAGGAGGGGCAAAACAGTTAATTTATGCTTCAACAATAGGTAGGAGAGCCGAAGTCAAAAATATTTTTTTAAGAAGCCCAATATATTATCTTATAATACTTTTTTCTTAAAAATCCCTAAAAAATATATTTATTGAAATATATGAGTTTAGTCATGTACCATTTGTTTCATGTTCTACAATGAACCATTTTTATGCTTGTCAATTATTGTACTTTATGAAAGCTGCTACGACCTTTTGTTAACATGTCTCAGTCAATGTGTCCCCATATCTTTTTTTCTTAGACAGTTAGTGACACTTGATTCATTCATTTCCTTGAGAGTTATGGGACTTTGTTGTTTCCATATTAAATGGTCTGATCTACCATTGTGCATCACTTAGTTTTACTCCTCAATTGGCTATTCCTCTTGGAAGAATTTTTCTTCAAATTCACTTAAGGCATATTGACTTAGTTTCTTTTTTGGGACAATCCTCGTCACATTATTTTCTTTCAGCTCTAGTGTTGCAGTAATTGATTTGCTATATGAACTTCTGTGATGTGGAGTAGTGACTAGTTTGTTGATTTCCACTTCGTATATTGTGTTAAAAAAAAGAAGCTTTATTTCATTGCAAATCCATTTCTTTTCTATGTTTAAAATAGAGTGGATGATCACATCAAGTTAAATGAGGGTGAACTTAAATAAAAGTGTAAAACCTAACATTGATGGGTTGCTTTCTGTTGTGTTTTGCTTAATAGGCTTCAAGGGTGTTGCAAATGGAGCGAAATAGTTTGGAATATCTTCTGCGTCATTTTTGTGGGGTAACTGCCAACAAAGAGTAACTCCTCTATTCTTGTTTTCCGCTTTCCTTCCAATACTAGTTTCTTGAAGGGTTTTCTCAAAATACAAATGTGTAACTTAAGGGAGAGTCGTTCCTCTCTATGATGACATATAAGTGACTGAACGTGGTACTTAGTTTTTTTTTGGTACTTGTATTCATACTACCATTTGCGGATCATTTTTCCCTTTCTTGACTCACAAAGTTATGTTTCTTACCATTTCCTTAAAGTTGTACTGACAAATAAGTTTATGAATGCCAACATGTGTACATTTGAAACTTGGAAAAGTGGATAGATGCGAAGCTCCTTAATGACTTTTATAGTTAATTTAGTGAACCTTTGATCTCATAGAACTGGAAACATATATTCTCCATTTCTGGGGATCAATATGGGATTAAGTCTGCTTTAATATGAAATATGAGAACATAAAACCATCATATTCCAAATATGTAATAATAGCTGTTATACATCAACAGCATGTCGATATTGAGATCAATGGTTTCATCTTTGTTCATTGTGAGCTTCAATTTGGCTAAGGAAGATAAATGCTTTATTTTCCTAACCTTGTCGTGGAAGTCTTTAAGATTCACTCCAGGGCTTACTTCAGTTTCCATGGATAACATAAGTGCTTCAGGTTTCAGCCATTTCAGACAATATATTGTGGTCCATCTTTAGGGGAATAACTTTCCGACCTACTAGTATTGACACGTATCCCATATAACCACCCAAATTCCCTGCAAATACCTGACTAAGAGATAGAGTGAGTGAGTTTTAGGATGGGTTCCACCACTAAAAGATTGGGTGTAAGAAGTAGAGCCCTTTTTTATCATAAAAAAAGTGAAAAGTACAAAAAGTGGGAAAATGCACGACTGTTTTTCCCGTTTTCAATGAGGAAGGGTGTCGTTTTACCCTAGGTTCAACATTTAACTTGTTGCTTGCAATTTGGAACTTAATGTGTTTCTTATAGTAGTTAAAGGGCATGTATGAGTTAATTTGAGATGAATTGGTAGGTAACGTTACATCTTTCTCTTCTGTAGTACTTTTCATGGGGAATATGATTTTGCTCTGGTCTTTTATTTTTCAATATAATTTACGTTTCCTCATTGCTTGTACAAATGACAAAAGTCTTTAAAATGCTTCTTGTGGTCTGGCATTAGTTTCTTTTTTTATCTTCCTCAACTGACATTCATCAGGAGACTGCAATTTATTATTCACTCGCTGATGATGACGATGATGTTCTTTTCCACATGGTATCTTGGATTTTAATTTCCATGTATATACTTGTAGGTATCAGAATGCTGATTGGCGGCTAAGGCCTCTTCCTGATGAGATGATCAGGTGAATAGCGACTTGAATTTTCTGTTTCACTTGTTGACTATTTTATTTAGGCATGGGATGTAAAATATGTGATGTTTATGGGTGACCTGTAATTATGTTTATCATAACTTGTTCTTTCTGATTCATGCCAACAGATATGCTCGAGAAGATACACATTATCTATTACACTTATATGATTTGATGAGATCCAGGTTGCTTTCATCATCGACAGACAGTGGGAATGGTGATGCTCTTCTAGTAGAGGTGGGTTCTGTTTCATCTACGGAATGCTTGTTTATTGTTTGTGTGATGAAATTACGACTTGTTTATATATGAGGATATTGGAATGAGATTAAGCATACTTATTAGTCTTTTTTTCAGTGTGCTCATCTTGGTTGACTAAATGTTGTAACATTGCATACTTATCTTGTTGATTAAGTTCAGGTAAAACAGGTTATGTTGGATTTTAGTATTTGTTAAGAAATTGTTCCCATCAGATAAATGGGTTCCCTGTGGAACTGCACCTACCCAAAATTGTGGAGAAACTGGCTGTATCTTGCATTTGATAGTGGGTTCATATTTTGTTTTCTTGGTATTTTATAATATTTGTTGGATTCTATGGTTTTGATGATCTCAACAAAGTGATGTTATGCATTACTGGGGCAAGTACCTGCATCATATGAAGCACACTTTATGAGTAGTATTCTACTCTTAAGCATTTGGTTCAGGATCGCGTTAACAATCTATTGGGGGTATGTTTGGATTTCATCTCATTTGGTTCGCATTAATCAATCTAAATGCTTATTAGATTATTCTAGCTAGTAGCTTGAAGGTTTTACTCTTCCAACCCTGGTTTTAGGTTTCAATCGCCATTTAAACAAAGAAATATGAGGTATTTTTAGCAGTTAAAGTAGTTTATATTTAATATTATTTTGTGGTTGTTGTTGTTGTTGATGTTATCTGGATTTTAAGTATTTACATTTTACTCTCAGTTACTAGTGTTCTTTTCTAAACTTGGTTAGCGTCATGATAGTTTCTTGGTTACACAGCTCCATGCATGATCTGATTAGACGCTAGGAACGTTTTCATATTCATTTGAAATACTGCATTCACAGGTGGAAAGTCAATTGCAGTATTTCCATATTGTTTGCACAAGTATGTACTGTTTAGAAGAAATTATCTGTTACGTGTTTTTACTAGTATGATAATTCTAATTGGTCAATAAAAATACGTTTCAATGCAATTCTTTTTTTGCTTTCCCCTATATCAGCCAACCCCTCATGAAAGGGAAAAAAGGGCACAGTAAATATGTTTTGATCGTCATCTAAATTGATGTCCCACTCCTCTGCATGTAGAAAAGGAATAAAGAAATCGATCAAATTACGGGAAGCTTCGTAAAGTGCCTCGTTAGGAGTTAAACTTCCATTTGTCCATATCTCTAGAAAAAGTCTCGATTGTTTTTCATTCTTATTTCCATAACATTGAATACTAGAATTCGCATTTCGAACAGGCATGGATGCAGCATCTATAGGATAACTTGCATCTTGATTGGGGGTTCTCATAAATCTGCGATTCCTCTCGATTTCTAATCCAATACAAAAATTAATTGGTTCTGTGATACTAGCCATATGCTGTGTTGTAGAGATGGAAGAAAGTGGGAAAGATGAGTATCTTGCCAAAGATTCGAGTATGTATCCTCAGGCCCTTCAATTAGGCAATCCTATAAGGATCTCAAAGATGCTCCACTACAAAATTTGATTATGTAATTTTAACTGAATAGCAAGACCTGATAATGCTACATAGTATGTTGATTACCCCCCTAGGCATGCAATTGGTATATGTAGCATGATAATGAAAATAAAATGACCGATATGATTGGTATCAGTGAATTCACTTATTAAAGTTGGTTCTGTGACGGATTAGAATAGAGATCCTAGGTTGTGGCATTGATTGCTCTTGCTGCATAAACTCAAAAGCCATGTATGCAGTTCTGGAGATTTGTTTTTTTTTTTTTTTTTTGTGATGAAGTTAACCTTAAATTGATAAAAGGAGTGATGGGCAATCCACAGAGCGGATGCTCCAAAGTACAGAGAGAAAAAGAAAAAAAAAAAAAAAGGCATTCTTAAGAAAGGTTACAACAAAGGCAACCCAAAATAAGACGATGCTTCCAAATATTTCTATGAGCCAGTCATACTGGCCGCTGCTTTAGCCAGGGTATCTGCCTCCTGATTGCCTTCCCTCCAAATGTGCTGCCATGAGATGCGTGTATCCCTGCCCAGGTGATCAATCTCCTCAAAAACTGTGAGCCAAATGCCACGGGGGAGAGGTAGGGTGAAATCCGATAAGATTACGTTCCTGGAGATTGTTGGCAGCTGAATTTGAAACAAAATGGTCGAGGAGCTCCTACTTGTAGGAGACCCTAGACGGTGATCTGACTTCTACAACTGACCTGCTGAAGTTTCCTTGGCAGAGGGTTATAGAAGTCACAAATCTAGCAATGTTGTTTGGTTATTAAAGGGAAGGGCTTCTGAATCCTTGCTATATGTAAATCATAACTGGAAGTTTTTCACATGTTTGGATAATGCTTACTGGGCTTCTGGATCCTTGCTATATGTAAATCACGAGCTGAAGTCTTGCACATGTTTGAATAATGCTTACGTTTATATTTATTGCTGTTTCTCGATCCTTGCTATATGTAAATTATGACTTGAAGTTTTTCATGGGTTTGGATAATGCTTACTGTTTACATTTATTGCTTTTAAAATTCCTTTATTTGCATCAATATGAAACTTGTTTTGAAAATAATTGCATACATTGATGCTTAAAAAAAATGCATGTGCTGATGATGTTATTCTTATGTTTTGCCCTGCAGGTTTACAAGCGTAGTTACGACACTTGCAAGAAGTTATATGAGAAAGAACTCCTAACAGATAATTCATTTCTCTATATCTATGGGTTAGTTTTTTTTGCTTGGCTGCCTCATACTACCATTATGTTCATGTATTTTGAATTTTGTCCAAATTGATTTGTGGTGCCGAAGTACTTCGGTTTCTAAGTTATTTTTGGTAATTGTGTGATATCAGGTTACACGAAGCAGATTTTGACTCAAAACAGCTTGCCGTTGTTGCTGTATGTCGACTTTTATTTTTTCTTTTAATAGTCTTCTGTTATGTTCAATTTGGCTAGAAAATGATGATATTGAATGAGTTAAATTTGTGATTGATGTATGTATATATATATATATATATAAGTTGCATCTATCAAAAACCTTATTGGGTCTTTTGCTGTACTCTCTGCAAACATATTTAAACCATGTAGTCTGTACATTACATGGACTGCTTTATGAGGGGTTATGATTGCATCATTTCAAACTACCTTATGGGCTTAATGAAATATTGTCTGTCATCAGAGTCTCCTATCACACACTTATTGCTTGTGGAGAACCAGCTCAGTTCCTATTATTTCTCTGGAAGTTCTTTTCCTTCGAAAACTGGTGTTTAATGCTATATCTGCCTCTTATCTTGAATCACTCAATGTTAATTATTTTATTCCTGAACTTCCTTGTGTGTTTTTAGTGGTACCATTTAATTGGTAAATATGCACAAATGTATGAGGACTGAATTGTAGGGGACATTAAGAAAGAAAAAGTTATCCTAGGTTGTCTCAATGAAAATTGCTTGTATTTATTATCTTGAATATATGGTTCACGTTGTTATATGCTAACTGTAAACTGTTATTAACTCCAGGGGCTTTGTGAATGGAGAGATCAGGTAGCTCGTTCAGAGGATGAAAGTACTGGCTACGTACTACCAAACAAATTGCTTCTTGAGATTGGTATTGGGAATATACTAGATTTAGTTCTCTAGGTTCATTTTCTAGCATTGTCCATTGGTCTTGAAATGGGTTTTCCACTCTGTTTTTTTCTTTACGATTTTCTGATAATTTCTCCTCTTTTTTTTTGTTTCTTAATCATAAACAGCCAGGATGATGCCAACTAGTATGGGTAAGTTACGTCCCTTGGTCAAGGTTAGGCACCCATATGTTATGAAAAATATTGGAGCTGTCATTAGTGTTATCGAAAGGTCAATTGAAAATGCTCCTGCATTTGAAAGCATCTGCGAACAAATGAGACAAGCACGCTTGGAAAAGGTAAAGACTCAACAAACCCGGAAAAGGTTTTGGAGATCTTAAGTAGTTCTTAATACATTTAGCAGTTGGCATCTGTGGTAGAAGCTAAATTTGGAGAAATTTGGTTTTTGGTCTTGCTGAATCATGTCTCAAGTAGGTTCTTTCTAAAAATAATTATAAAAAGAATTTAGGATTTCCATAGGAAAACAAAATCACTATTTAGGCTGAACCCGTGAAACCTCTCCCTGAAACGTATCATCATGTTTTTGGATCAAATTTCAAGTGGCCCATCAAATAATGCATCAAAATGAGTTTTGAAATTTAGGTATTTTTTGATAAATTTCCCAAAAAATTAGGATTTCCATCAGAAAACAAAATCAGTATTTATGCTTAAACCCATTAAACCTCTCTCTCTCTCTCTCTCTCTCTCTCTACTACTGTAGTGTCGTGTCGTACGTTACTTACGTTTAGTTTAGTTAGTTAGGTAGGTAGGTAGGTAGGTAAGTAGTAGTAGTAAGTAAAGTAACGTACGTACG